GAGTTCGTGAAACTTGCCCAGGGCGCAAAAGTGACAGGCTGCGGCTCTGTGAATCTGTTTCTATAACACAAGCTGTTCTTATATCTTATTTCGAAGCATAAAGTTTAAATTTTCACAATTAAGAATTATTGTCGAAAAACATATTTTTGTTATATTTTACGTTTAAACTAGACAAGCGGTCAAAGATTGAACTAAACAGGGAAATACATAACAGAAGAAAAAATAGCGTGTCCTTCTCTGAACTTGTTTTGTTTGTTTGAAGTTAAGCACAAAGCTACACATTGGACTATCTGTACTCTGCCCACCATGGGTATCGAAACCCGGATTCTAGCGTTGTAAGTCCGCAGACATACCGCTGTGGTACTGGGGGCCTGAACTTGTTATTAATGTTTCACTATATATTTACTTTACTCTTATATTTTTCAATTTATCAATTTTTCAAGTGTCCTTTTGCGTTATTGTTTGTTTGTTACTGGACAAATATATTTTTTGTTTGTTACTGGACAAATATATTTTTTTGTTTTTTATTATTCTTTGTTTTAAAATTTTCGCGCAAAGCTACACAAGATCTACCTGCGCATAGCCGTAACTAAATTTAAACTAATAGAGAAAGGCCAGATGTGTCCTAGTGGCTAGCGTTCCTGGCTATGGGTCCGAAGGCCCAAGGCTGAGTACCGTTGCCAAAAACAAAAACAAAAAAAACGTTGAGTGAGTTATGAGAGTGAAGGTCAAACGCCACTATCTGAGTAAAGTAGCCAAAGAGTTGGTGCTGTTAACCAGCTTCCTAGAAAGGATTCTACTCTGTTAGTTCAAATTTGAGGACGGCTAACACAGACAGCTCTTCTGTAACTTTGTGTGAATACTAAATCAGCCCAATTAGAGAGAAAGCAGCTAGTCAACAGGACCAACACCAATTCTTCGGGTGCTCTTTTCTAAACAAATAGCGGAAGTTGACCGTTATTCTTATAGTGCACCCAAGGTCCCAGCATGCATAATGTTTTGTTGTTGTTGTTTTTGTTTTTGTGTGTGTGTGTGTGGTAAAGTAGCGCTAATTAGGAATCCTCGGATTCAAAGTCTGGATACCATAACCACTTATCTACTCCATGATCAGTAGCAAGGATGAGCTACAGCAGATCTCATTACCCCGCTGATAGAGAATATCCGAATAAGCCGAAAAAAAGGTTTTGAGACAATTTAACTTTCTATCAAGACTTAAGTAAAAAAGGTGCACGAAAGTGTATATAAACAAACATTACAGTGTTCTCCTTTATTTTTTTACAAGTTTTTAAAACGAATGTATACAAACGCTGGAAATCAGTGCACATGAGATTGATTACGTTATATTAAAACTATTTTTATATGCTAATCAGCAATTCACGTGACAATCGATATAAAGTCGCGGTGGAACGGAATGTATCAGAACTACACTTTCACATTGCTTGGCTTTTCGGAAGTAGTGTGATGCAGCCTAAAATTTATCGCTTTTGAGTATATATATATATGTGTGTGTAACAGCCGTTTCTGACTCAAAATATTTATACACTCATATCCTAAAGATGTATTCAGATCGAGGATTTAGAATTTCCAGAATGGAAATATCTCTTGTAATTAATAGGAATAGGAACAAAATAATATGCATCAACTTGAGAAAACAGGATCACCCTTAAAGAGACTTGTAACTCGTCGTACCGCAGCTGGTGTAAACTAAATGTGACGGCGCCTTTTAGTAGGTGTGAACATATGAACACCAGGATCAGTGACAAAAACTGTCCACGTTTCCCAGCTAACACTAGGCAAAATGATCAAGAAGGAGTTCCATCTGGAAACGAGGCCAATATGGATGGGTTCATTAATACTTTTTTGTCATACCTCTCGTTCAACTGTCACATACCTCAAGCAACTGGAGAATGAAATGGGTATTTATGTTATGCCATAAAAAAACATATTGGTCAAATGGCTGAACTTGGCGCTTATGGATTTCTGTGCGATCGAACTATTAAAAACAACGCTGAGCAAACTTCATCCTCGTAACACTAGATGCAATATGGAAACCATGCACGGAGGAGTGGTGTGCTTTGGATACGACGACCTTACGACAAAGCCTTTTCCAACGGAAACTGCGTTGCATTGCAGGGGCTATTGTCAAGATACATAGTCATCAGATAAAGCATGACCGGACATAACTACATGGACCGTAACGATGTGGTGAGGTTTCAAAATCGTTCTATTATAACGTACTAAACCTCTGTATAATGTCAAAACCTTTCTTTCATAGTTAAGGTTTCATAAGGATAGTATAATTTTAGGATTTTTTGTCTTATCTTAATGCAACTAGATTGCCTTGACACCTTTAAATTCTAAATGTTTTACAAGAACAAACTGATTTTCTCGGTTATTTTTTTACGTAAGCAGCTATTTGTAAGAGCATAACGATGTATTATTTTCTTAAATTCATAGTTTAACTTTTAGTTCTACGAAATCAATTTAGATTTATTCATTACTTAAAAGATTGAATCTATAAAATGTTATTTTAGTATTTCCGTATAATTGACAAGTTTTTATAACAAACAGTTAACTCTTAACACTAGTGTACTTCAAATTATTCAATAAACAGCTAGGACCACTCTCAATTTTTTGTAAATAAGCCTCCAGTGCACCTGATTCAAAGCGCCATCTCTTGATAATAAAATACACTTTCACCAAAAGTAAATGAAAGCTGCATTTGACGACAATGTTAACTGAGTTATATTATCCGAACGGCAACGTGATTATGTCCGAGTTACGAAGCAGGGCAACTATTCACGTTTTTATTTTCTAAATGGAAGAAACTGTTTCAACTCTAATGTCCCACAGAAATTAAAACATTTGGTAGTGACTGAAAAAGTTGATAATTTCCACTATTTGTGATTTACATGGACTAACATAGCATTTCACCAGTTTTGTACTCGAACAAATAAATTTATTTTTATAATAGAACTCTTTGGAAATAAAAAAATAATTACAAATTACAATGACCAAAATCTAAATTTGAGATATTTAAAAACATTCGAGTCGCGAATAAACGAAGGAGGAATGAATCACGTTTCTCAATAGGTAAACAGTTAAATGTTGGAAACGTTCACAAACAAACGTACATACATGAACTGGACCAAGGTTATCCATATATTTTGTTGCTTTTACTGTACCCCTTTCTACATTTCTCTAGTCACGTAATTTGTATAAGGATAATAGTTTATTGTTTTCCACGGATACTGTAGTTGAAACACTTCGTTGTGGGCTTATGAAGAGAAGATCTCTTGTGAAATTTTGTCCTAAATGTATTGTGTACAAAGGGGTGATGAAGTTCTGGGTTTGGTGGTTTGTTGTAAAGCACAAAACTATACAATGGGCCATCTATGCTCTGCTCTTCACACCGCAGGTATCGTAACCTCAACTGGCTTACTGCTGAGCCACCGAGAAGGGAGCAGCCTTTAAAAACGATAGTAAATACAGAAATATGTGGAATAAACTCAAAATTCTTATGAGCTTAAAAAACTCCCAAAAGCTCATTGACAAATCAGTTTCTTTAGTAGAAAAATGTTCCCCCTCTCAGTGGCATAGCGTATT